CTGAGCAAACTCAGGGAGGCAGTGAAGGACAGGAAGGCCTGGGGCAATATGGTTCATGGGGACATGACTTAAAGACTGAACAACAAGGAGGATGACAGTGAGTTGATGTCAGAGGAAGAATGATTAACATACTGTCCTCAGGGGATTTTGGTACCAGACCAACCTGTGCAGCATTGGGTTGAATGTCTATCTTTCTCATTCCCAGCCTATGAGGAACAAAGTGTCACAAATGGTCCTTAAGGCGCCCTTGAGGGTTTCCATGACAAAGGAGATTGCAGCTGTGCTGTGTGTGTGTGTGTGTTGGGGGGGGTGATTTTGTATGGACACAGACCCTTCTTCCCCTTCTCCCAAATATCTCCTTCAGTTCTAGGCCAGAAAACTGCTGCTCCAGCAAGTCTAAACACAGAGGAAGGCCTTCTCCTTCTGAGGGCACAGAAAGCAACTCAACTTTGGGCTGAGCTCCATGACAATCTTAAGCAGTGCTTAACTTAAGGCAGTAGCAAAGGATCAGTTTTAGAGTGAAGGGACTAAAGGCCTGGATTTTGCAAGAACAATCTTGCAGATGATGGTGATGATTCTATCTATCTATCTATCTATCTATCTATCTATCTATCTATCTATCTATCTATCTATCTATCCATCCATCCATCCATCCATCCATCCATCTAATCACCTCTGTAGTTGGTACGTGTCTTCCTCAATCTGGGGTCCTCTACCAGAGACCTGGGAGTTTGAGGGTTCTGTGCAGGATCTGAACTGTTCCTAGCCCTGCACTCTTCTGGACAGAGAGCTCTGATGTCATTCCTGGGATCTGTTGGAGCTTAGGACTCACAGCCCTGAGGGCTCCTACCACCACTGGGACCACTTTGGCCTTTACTTTCCACATGCTCTCTAGTTCTTCCTTCAGGCCCTGGTCCTTCTCCACCTTCTCGTACACCTTCCTGAGGTTGCTGTCACTTGGTACCGTTACATCTATCCCCACCGCTGTCTTCTGGTCCTTGTCTACTATCATGATGTCTGGTTAGTTGGCCAGAAGATCCTGTCCATCTGGATTTGGAAGTCCCACAGGATCTTAGCCCTGTTATTCTCCTCGACCTTCTGTGGAATCTCCCATCTGGACTTGGAAGGGTCTATCCCAGTGTTTCTCAACCTTGGCAGCTTTCAGATGTGTGGACTCCAACTCCCAGAATTCCCCAGCCAGCATGGGTTGTTGGAGTCCACACA